GCCGACCCTCGATCGGACCCCTGCTACGGGCGGGGGCTTAAGGAAAGTTGGACTCGCAAGGAGACCGAACGCGCGGTCGTAGAACGACAGACCCCCGTAGGGGTCGGAATCAGGAAAGATCTTTTTCTGACCCACCAAATGTCACGGCTATACCCCCGAGGGGTCCAATCACGATGAAAGGGAATTGCCGTCCCCAGGACACGCCGTGGGCGACAAAAGAAGGCCAAGGCCCTCAGAGTCCTCCCGTTCGGAAAAGCCTCCAAAGGAGTATTCTACTCCTCCGTAGGCTCGGGGGCTACTGTCGGGGACCAATACTAGGGTACCCGAAGAGGAGGAGCTAATGGTCATCAACATTGATTCATCCGAGCAATCAAGAGCGCGACTACAGCTCCAACTGACCCGTAGGTGCGCGAGCTCCGCCTCGCCCGACCTCTGGGTCGGGGGCTCCGGCTTGCCCGACCTCTGGGCCGGAGGCTCCGGCTCGCCTGACCTTTGGGTTGGGAGCTCCGGCTCGCCCGACCCCTCAGGCGTGGCTCCTGACGGAAGCCCGTACTGCCGCCAACCACTATAGGCCAGAAAGTACAACCCAAGGTCAAACTTCTGGCATCATGCAGGGTGCGGGCACATCTCAACATGACCCGTTCCCATGACATGTCACTCTAGGGAACTCACATCACCAACAGTGATGGACGTGTGGTCACTATGCTGCCTACTCCCTGTACGGCCGCTGACCAGCACGCGGGTTCACCGCGTCGTCCGCCGGGACGGAATGGGACGTCACGGCCCGCTGACAACGTCGGGGTGTGGCATCAGCGACGAACAGGCGCCCGGCGTTGAGCTGTCCCTGTCACCATCTGCAGTGTCGGTGGGACCCGCGTAAAGGAGAAGAAAGGCCCGGCGGTCCTGGAAGCCTTCCTCTCCTTGGCTCTTCTCCCTCTTTCTCTCTGTGTAACCTGCTCTTCCCCTTCGTCTATAAAAGGGAAAGCATGACGCCCCAAGAGAGGGGACGGCGGTTCACCACTCTACACAACTGTAGATATCAAAACACACGCCCTAACACACTTTAGGAGCACACGCACATCAGAGACTTGGGACATGTTCCTATCTCGCTCGTTTGTAACCCCTACTACAAACTTTCAGTGTCAGTAACACGAACAGCAACGACGAACTGGACGTAGGGACTTTCTGGCCGAACCAGTATAAACCTCGTGTCCTCTAAGCACACTATCCGAGCCAGATGCGCAATACTAGAAATTTACTAGTTGGTAACTCGAAACACCGACACTACTTTAATCAAATCCTAATATATTAATGTTGATAGAAGTGAGTAATGTAGAAATAGATATATGCTCTATCGTTATTTAAACAAAAAAATGTAATTGAAGATGTTGATAATTTTTAGAATTAGATTTGAGAGGTTATTTAATTTTCTAATAATGATATGAAAATTGGGTTACGTGAATTATCTACAATAATAGGGGGACATGGGAAGTTAGATAAAAGTTTTATGTCTATCCTAGATTATATTTCTTAATGATAAAGGTGGGTAGTTTAAATATAGAGTCATAGGTTACTTTATATTGTTTTACGCAATAGCTGAAATAGATAATTATACACAACCAATAGCTATTATTATCTACGGTGATCGGTTACTCGGAGGTCGGAGGCTGCTAAATTTCCGTCTGCCCGTCTGTGTAGTTTAATATAGAGTCATCGTTATCTGGGGACGGGTTGCTCATTTGGCCATACAAACACGCAGTCCTCCGTGAGACCGTGATCGTCTCATCTGATCTGAAATGATGTTTCTAAAAAAATCTGATCTGAAATGATACGGTTGTGCCGGCTGGCAGTTTCTTTTTTGTTCCATTGCTTACGCACTCACTCACTACAATGATAAGATAAATAATATAGAGAAAAAAACAGCGTAAAGCACATCGGCACGCCTGTCCCGTTTTTGTGCCACTCCCATTCCAATCGAACAGCTTGTTTGACTTGTGAATTGGATCATATACAATGAAACATTTTTGCTAGACGATGACTCGACGAGACGATCGATCCAGAGGACCTGACTCTCGTCTTGTTTAGTTTCACCCTAACTTCTAAAAAGTTGCTACAGTACCTGTCACATCGAATGTTTGCGGCCCGTGCATGAAGCATTAAATATAGACGAAAAGAAAAACTAATTGCACAGTTTGGTGGGAAATTACGAGACGAACGTTTTGAGCCTAATTAGTCCATATTTAAACACTATTTACCAAATAAAAACGAACGTGCTACCGTAGCTCCAAAATCCAAATTCCTACGACTAAACACACACAGCCTCTGTACGTGCGTGATTCAAATCAGGATAACCATGCGACGCGGCGACGCGGCGACCGTGCTTATCCCGGTTAGGTGAGCAAGGGGGCTGGTCTTCGGCGCGCGCACACACACACTGACACACAGCTAAATGTCGCACAGGTTCTCCGTGGCCAACAGTCCTGTCCAACACCCAAGCATCCGAAGATTTGACTTTGGTGTTCTGAGTTCTTCGCAGTGGTGGTAGTCAGGTGGGCTATAACTTTCACGCCGTTATGGCTTGCTAAAAATAGCAAACGAAAGAAAAAGTCAAATCAGAACTACCGTGCTACACTGCTACTCCTTGTAAAAAAAATCCCGCATCATTTTGATACAGGAGCGCACACACACAGAACCACTCGATTTTTTTAGTTCTTGTATTTAGTGATCTCTCGAGAAATAAATAGTAAACTCATAGTTGTATTTTTCAGAAAGTGAACCTTAGCTCAACTGACGGTGGGAGGTGTGATCATGCATTCAATCACCCATGTTCAAGTCATCTCTTAGACTAAATTTGAGTGCCTATTTCTCTTCTTAGTGATTAGACTGAATTTGGGTGCCATTTCTCTTCTTAATGATTAATGAAAAATCACCTAGTTTCTCCTAAGTTAATTGTACAAAGTTACTACTTCCTCCGTTTTGAAACATAATGTACCCAGACAATTTTAGCACCAAAATAAGGAGTCTAGACAAAGACTAACTCGCCTCTCACTAATTAGTTAGTTCGGTTAACTTGCTTAATTTTCTAAAAGGCCACCATTTCAAAAAGGAATGAATGCATGCTTTTTTTCGTGTACCAATTACATGGATCATTTTAGGCAAAATGATGTTTAAAAGGCATGCATGAATACATGCATGGATGTGGTTTAATTGTTTAAAAGACAAGCACGCATGGATAGATTGAATAATATAATACCTTATAATTTAGGTTAGATTTTAAACTTTTAATACCGTGTTTTTCAGAACGGATGCAATACTATTATGAATAACATGGTTATTCCTAGACATTACTTATAGTAACTTACAGTAACCTAGATCCTATAAACTTGGGATTACTATGACTCTATATCATTTTATTTTAAATGGTTGTATGGATAATCAATAACAAATTATGGATGCATTATATATGAGTATGCACCATGGTTGTATGGTGTAGTATCATAATATATTTTTATACTTGTATATATGTCGCCGCATATTAAAGTTGCCGATCATCAGACACCGACACAAGCTCTCCTCCTTTGCCGACCTCGAGTGAAGTCTGACGACCTCAAGCAAGGTTAGTGCTTAGGGGTTCCAGAGGTTGGGGTTTAGGGGTTGTTATGCTCTTCGATTGTAGAAGGGGTCATTGGAGAAGCTAGTGAATCGACGGTGGTGGTGGGGCGAGCACGCCGCCCTCCGAGCGGTGGAAGAGGCTGGTTAGGCAACACCGATGATGGAGGCGTTGGCTCAAGAGAGAGGAGAAGGATGTTGTGATTAGGACTAGCGGTGGTCGCGGGTGGCGACGAATGGAGATGGGGCAGGAGGCGGGCCACTTATGCTGGTGTGAAAATGATTGTTGGAATTGAGGTTTACAGTTCTCGCGGACGAGGACGATGGCGAGGAAGGTGCTGAGTTGAGCGGTGCGATGGAGGAGCTGGGAGAGAAGGGAGGATGTGTGTGTATGTGACTAGTCTATTGTACGGCCTACCGTACCTTAGCGGTGTCCTGTCAAAATTGTGTCTATATTTCTTGCAGAAAAGTATCCCATCAATGTAGGGACTAATAAATGAAAATAAAATTGTGTTGTTGATTTGCTTTTTGTAAGGAGCTAGGGGTGGTGTTTGAGCTATCCCCACCAATTGCATCAGCTCGGAGGCACGACAGATTTATGCATTGTTTGGATCAGATACAAGTATATAACAAATTGAAAGGTACTAAAAGTTACTCTAGCTAATGTATATAGTCCAATTTTATACTAACATGCAACTTATGAAACCTATTAGTCCGCTCCACCTAGCTTTTGCGTGTGGCTTATAAAACCTGGAAAGATCCAAAAGATTATAAACATATTTGGATTTGCTATGAGATATCCCGCAAGGAATGCAAATTAAGATACGCGATTGGAAAGAAAAACTAGATGTTGCGCCATGAGTGTCCATTGTGGTCTTGTTTGAATGCTGATGGATCCACCTCAATTCATGTGTTACCAACACACATGGATTTAGGTGGATATATGTACATTCAAACAAGCTCTTGAACGACGAACGGATACCTGTCATGCTCTTCCATAGATCAGTTTTCGTTATTTTGAAACCGTTGTGAATACTACTTCGGTATCACAACACGAGCTATGGCCCTGTTCGCTTTGCTCTGAAAGTATTGTTCGCTGATTTGTTGTGAGAGAAAAACACTGTTCGTTCGCTAAAATAATACGGCTCGTAAGAGAAGCGAACAGGACGTATGAGGCCAGGGTTCCGCGCCGTTTGTGGCGCATTCGGGTCTCGCCGCCCTCGGCCGCACTGGTTACCATTTCTCCCCGTATAAATACCACCCCCTGTCCATCCCACCTCGCCCCATCGGCCAGACACGTCGCGCCACTTCTGTCACGTAACACGAAACCATTCTCCTGAACCAAACTACAAATAGAAGCATTAGAGCTCGTGTCAGAGAGGCAAACACAAATGGCGTTCCACAGAACAATGGCACGGTGCCTATGGGCAGGCAAGAACGCGGCAGCTAGCGGCGCGGGCGCGGCCATTCCCAAACCTCCCGCTCCCCATCCCCCGGCACGGCGGTCTCTGCCGGCCGTGGACGACTGCCCGACACTCGCATTCCTTCGGCCGAAGCCGACCGCGGTCGGGTACGCCACCGCGACCGTCCCACTCCCAGCGCACTGCTTCCCCGCCCTCCCCATCGGCGACCACCTCTTCCACCGCCTCCAGCTCGACGGGCTTATACCTCCCGTGAGCACGACGACGCGGCCGCCGCCGGAGCATGCGGGCGTGACGGTGGAGCAGGCGAGGAAGGTGGCGAGGGCGGCCGAGATGGAGGTGGCGCGGGCGAGGCTGAGGTCCAACGCCCAGAGCGTCGTGTCCGGGTCGGAATTCGCCGCGCTCTGCGTCGACATTGCCGGCGGCGTCGAGGGCGGCCGCAGGCTGGGCCGTGCCCTCGATGAGTCCGGCGGCGTCATCGTCCTCGGCGACGCCGTCTTCCTCCGCCCCGACATGGTACGTGCTAGTAACACCCGAGACACGTAACGCAAGGAGACAGAGTAGCCAGAGAGCAGAGCAGCCGCCTTACGCTTTTACGCGTCTCTGATCTTTCCCTCCATGTGTCGTCGTTCAGGTAGCGAAGGCCATCGGAAGCATCCTCCCCGGGAAACAGCAGATGCAGCAGGCGCCGCGCGCTGGAGACGGGAGCGAGGCGCCCAAGCGCGAGCTGGAGGCCATGGAGGCGCAGAAGGCGGCGATCGACGCGGACGCGGCGGCGCATGTGCGGCGCGAGCTGTGGTGCGGGCTGGGCCTGGTGGCGATGCAGACGCTGGGGTTCATGCGGCTCACCTTCTGGGAGCTGTCGTGGGACGTGATGGAGCCGGTGTGCTTCTACGTCACGTCGCTCTACTTCATGTCCGGCTACGCCTTCTTCATGCGCACCGCCACGGAGCCGTCCTTCGAGGGCTTCTTCCGGAGCCGCTTCGCGTCCAAGCAGCGCCGCCTCATGCGGGCGCGCGGGTTCGACGTCCACCGCTACAACGCCCTGCGGAAAGCGCAGGGGCTCCTTCCTCTCGGCGACCCCGACGCGTGTAGGCACGTCAGCCATGTACAATAGCTAGCGCGTCGGCCCCGGACGTGGTCGCTTGGCTTGTGCCAGGGGGCACATGGGATAAACGTGGCGTGGCATGGTCGACTCCCCGTCTAGTCGTGAAGCAACAACTCGCCGTGTCGATTCAGGAGGACAAGCTACTATTTTGTAGAAGAAAGTCTCATCAGAACGGAAAGCAACTAACCCGTGTGGCACACACCCTGATTCACAATCTCACACGCGTGTTGATTGAAGAAGAAACGTCGGAAGCACTCGAGCAAATTAGGATTACGATCCTAATGGCTTGTGTCATTGTTGGGAATTCAGAACACACTTTTTTCGATCGTTTCGTCACATCAGGTGCGCCAAGGCCGTGGTGTACGTGTACCGTGTACGCGCGTGTGCACGGATGGCGTGGAAACATGTCGACACACACGCACACACCAAACATAAAACAAGAGTTCGTCAAGCCCCAAACTTTCTATGCTCTAGCAAGTCCTAGCGGCAACTGGCAAATGCAAAATTACAAGCACTTTTTTTTAGATAAGTAAGATGAACAAAATGATCTAATGGCACTGCAACTGCAGTTTGTGCCGCTCGCACACGGTCACAGCCACGACTCCATCCGCCCACTATTGGTGGCCCGGGCAGAAGGTGACGAGGTACTGCGCGCCGGTGCCGCAGGTGAAGGTGCTGGTGGGGTCGTCGTACGCGTAGCTGTAGGCCGCGGGGCACGCCGCCTTAAACAGCCTCGAGTACTTGGTCGGCCCACAGGTGCTCGGCCCGCCGTGCGCGCCCGTGCAGCAGTACTCAGGCGTCCCGAACGCCTCGCACGCGCTCCGGCACGCCACCGTCGTCGTCTCCCCCTCTGCTTCCCCTCCCGCCGCGGCCTTATTCGTCCCGGACACCTGCAGCTCGGGCGGGCACAGCGCGTTCACGTCCCCGACGCAGCCGGCGTACCCGCACGTGGCGTAGTTCACCCTGGCGCCCGTCGCCGCCACGCCGACGCCGACGTTGTATCCGTCCACCAGGCTCACGTCGTAGAAGTCCTTGCCGTCGGCGCCGCCCAGGGTGAACTCCGCCAGCGTGACGGGCGGCGCCCCACCGAGGGAGCAGCCCGCGGCGCCGCTGCAGTCGCCCGTGGCGCACGAGAGCCCGGAGGACGGGGACGGCGACGCGACGCAGCCCGTGCGCGCCCAGAGGCGGCCCGACCAGCCTGCCGGGGCCGGGAACGAGACCGTGGCGTCGGGCGACAGCTCGAAGCCCCCGCCCCCGACGGCCGCCGCGCTGTTCCCGGACAATGTGGCCGGCCAGATCGTCTGGGTGCAGTTGTTGTGCAGCGTGAACACCGTCGTGCCGGCGGCCTCAGCGCCAAACTTCGACTGTAACCAAATTGTCCCTGCATCGCGTATGCGCAGATATCAGCACGAGTGCTACCTACGGCAATTTGCAGTATGAATACAGCACATGAGTTTGCGAATGTACCGGCGAGGAGTACAAGGCTTGCAATTCGTGTGGCTCCCATGGACAACGGACTGGTTGAAGCTAGGACTCGACGAGAAGAATCAGCAATGACAGTCGTGGACAATGTATGATGGAACTAGCTGCAGCTGGAAGAGGAATGTGCAAGGAGTAAATCTGATTTTGTATATATAGTAGGCGTGTACTTGTGTTGATCTGGGTAACTGGACTCAAGGGAGATGGCGATTAGGTGGGAACCCCGGAGGAAACGTCGGAGTTCGTTGAGAATCGGGAGGAAAAGGCACGGCCAGCGCGCAAGCGCCGTGGTCGTGGCCTCGTGGGCAGTGGGCACCTCATGTACGCCTAAATGTAGGTGCAGTGGCTGAGATAAATCAGTGCACGGTTTTCAGCCGTGGTGTGGCCGTGTGGGTCGTGGCGCTTTTGTTTAGCCGCAGTATCCCGCAGCAGACTGGAAGCACCGAAAAATCGTTGGAGAAAAAGAAAGGGAGCCGAAAACAGCCTGCGGATAAGGGGCTCCTGACTATCCTATTGGGCCAAACAAAGCTCAGTAAGCCTAATAGAACCTCCGCGAGCACGAGATGGGCGGGAACGGCAGCCTGCTCGCGGTTGGTCCAGTCATCCAGGTTTGGCAGATAGAGTCGGGCCGTTTATCCGTGGCTGTTGCGCCCCGGTGAGACACTCGGCCGGGGCTGTTTGCCGTCATTCTGCTTTTCAGGTATGGGCCGAATTCCTTGTCGGTCTTTAGTACACACAAATCCCTTTATAAAAAAAAAAACTAAGTACACATCATGTTTATATAAAAAAACTGTGTACGTACCTAGAAAACCAGAACGACTTATAAGTTTCTATTAGAGGTTCAGTCATTAGCTAGAAGATGCTATACTTTCACTCTACTACCTCCATCCTAAAAAAATCAATTTTAACTTTAGATTGAGTCAAACTTTCTTTAAAGCTGCTTGTTTCCTTCGCTAAGCACTATTATGCCTTGCCGAGTGAGGATGGAAAGCGATGGTATATGTTTGGTTCTCTCGCCTAAACATTTCAATGATTGTATGAGCAAGATTTGGCTGGCTCTCATGGGGAAGCCAAATCTGCTCATCCGCCTGAACGAGCTTCTCGTTGCTCGCACCGACGTGGTAGGAAAGCTGAGGTGATGCACCGCCAAGAACCAAGCAACCCCTTAGTTTAACTAAGTTTATAAAAAAATATTATTAATACTTATGAGTTATGACTCTTGGTATACTATGGAAATATATTTCATGATTAATATGATAATACTTTATTTGGAAACCATAAAGTTACTATATTTTTTACATATTTACTTCAATTTAAAACTTTTTTAAAAAATTAAACTTATAATTGTTTCATAACTTTTTTTTAAAAAAAAGTTAAATTTATAATTTTACGGAAGGACGCTACAAACTCCTAAATCCTTCGCTGCATCACTGGTGCTTAAAACGCGTTATCACTCCTTTTATGGAAGAATCATGACAAATGTACTTTCCTCCGTTGTTCCTTGTGTGTTTCCCAAACTGAAGATGACAAATGGTAGCTCAACCCTGGATTTCAAATTTGCACACAAACTACTAGTATCATTTGTCATCTTCAGTTTGGAAACTAGTACCTAAAGACTGAAAGATACTAGTACACTAGAGGTTGAACATGAACTATCATACAATGCAAAATTAGTGTCCAAGTAAAGTAAAGTAGTGTACAGTGCAAATTTACAGCCAAGGAACTAGCAGCTACTTGCAAAATTATCTGTTAAACGAAGTTTTGTTTTCATTTTATCGAGCTGACACCGAGCTGGCCATCCGAATGTTGTCGTCCGAACTGGGTTGCCACATCTTCTCGAATCCGTCGGCCACTGACAACGGCTGCACCAGCACGGAGAGGCTGAACACGACCTCGGTCATGTTCGGCCGCCTCGCCGCGTCGTCCTCGGTGCAGGCCCTCGCCATGCCGGCCAGGCTAAAAGCCGCGTCCATGTGGTACTCGCTTCCCAGAGCGGGTTCCATCCACTTGATCAGCTTTGCCTCCCTCTTGTCGCCGGCGTCCAGCACGCCACGGATCTCCCTCCACAGCATGCCGATCTCCGAGCCGACGCGCGCCTCCATCGCCCTCCTGCCGGACAGGAGCTCCAGGAGCAGCAGACCGAAGGCGAACACGTCGGAGCTCGTCCCGGCGGCGTCGGCCGTGGCTGGCTTGGCCAGGGAGAAGCTTGATATCTTGGCCCTGAAATCCGCCGTCAGGAGGATGTTCCGCGCGCGGATGTCGCCGTGCACCATGCTCGGCTGCGTGTGCTCGTGCATGTAGAGTAGGCCGTTGGCGACGTCCAGCGCGATGCTCAGCCTCTGGCCCCACGAGAGAGTTGCCACGGTGCAGCACGACGACGATGGCAGCGCGGACGGTGGCTTCTGGTACAGCCACTTGTCGAGCGAGCCCTTCTCGGCGAACTCGTACACCAGGAACGCGTAGTCCCCGTCAGCGCCGATGGATATGCCGGCCAGCTTGATCAGGTTGGCGTGATTGACCATCTGCATCATCTTCAACTCCGCTGACACGTCGCCTTTCGCAGGCTTCACCGCAAACACCTCCCCGTCGAGCTTCGCCCGGTAGTACGTGCTGCCGATCTTGCACCGCTCGTCAAGGTTCATCGTGGCTTCCATGATCTCCTCTTCCACGAAGATGATGGGCTTGTCGATGAACTGAGACACGCCGGTGAGCAGCTTCCCTCCTTTCATCATGTGATGAGCGAAGGAGTTACTGCTGTCATGGCCGTATTGGTTCCTGGACCAAGAAAGCTTGGTGTTCCCGGCGAACCGTGAACCCAGGCGCATCGACGGCTTCTTTCCGTACCTTCGGTGCGCCAGGATCGCCAGGAACAAGGCGGCGAGCGCGACGAGAGACCCCGAGACGCTGGCGCCTATGATGACAGCCCGACGTCGCCACCGGGACTTGCCGTCGCCTGCACTAGCAGCGTAGAGCAGCGGCGGAAGCCGCGGCCGCTGTTGAACTGGGATCGGCATCGGCTGCCCCACGAGGGACGCGGAGGCAGAGCTGCTGGTGACGTTGTTCGCCTCGGCAATCTCGTCACCGCTGGCGTTCATCAGCTTGCTCACCTGGGACATGGTGTCCCCTGGTTGCCACACGTATGTGATGAAGCTGCTCCGCTCAGCGCGAGCCGGGCACTGGCAGAAGAGCGGCACCGTGACCTCCTGCCCGACCTGTAGACTGGTGGGTACCGACCCCGGGTTCAGATTTTGGATGAGTTGGTACTCGGTGAGGTTCTCGTAGGAGACTCTGGCGAGGTTGAAGAAGGTGTCGCCTTGCCGGATGGGGTACGTGACGTTGGCGAAGGACCAGCCGCCCGTGCAGCCGCACCTGCTGACGGGCACGAGCAGCGGCTGGCCTGGCTGCAGCACGCCGTCCTCGGAGCTGAGATTGTTGGCGCTTGCGATCCGGGCCTGGCTCGTGCCGAAGAGGTCCGAGATGCTGCCGAGGTCCTGGTAGCCCGGGGACTGCGTCCGGTACACGACGTACGTGTCGCACGGCGGCGACGACACGTTACAGGCGAACTGCGCGGGGACGGTGTAGTTTGTGTTGTCCTGGGCACCGGCTCGCCGGAAGACGAGGAGGAGCATCAGCAAAGCGCAGCAGAAATGGCGGGGTTCCATTTCGCTCTCGGTGTCGGTGTCACGGCCTCACGGGCTGCTTTTCTGTGAGCTCCTTGGCTAAATGAGGTTGTGAAGCAGTGAGGCGATGGCCGCTTCATTAAACTCCACAGAGGAGCTAACATGCAGTCCGGCATCCCAAGGACGAGACCGTTCAAGTCAATAGCGCGGTAGCCATTTGTCGGGGCTCGGGTGCTTTGATTCGGTCCTCGAAGTCTCGCTCCGCGATGCAGATGCCATTCGCCTGCACTTGGCCGTATTACTTTATATACTAGCAGGCATGATTTGATATGAATTAGTACAAATGTAGCCGCCTGTTTAATAGGGTGCAGCCGGGACGAAGAATGCAACAATCATCTTTTCAAGGTCGCTCTCATGGCGATTGCTTGCAGCACAGGAACAACGGAATGGGTCTGCCGCTGTCTGATTGAAGCAAAGAGTTGCTGTCAGATGATGCTACGGCGTCATTGTCAAGAGAAAGAGGAAGGGGATTATACTATGGTGCCAACAACCAACATCGTAAGATATCGCTAAACAATGAGGTGTTGATGATGCACCCAATGCCTATGTAAGTTTTCTTTTTCTGCAGGAAGTTCTGTTCATACGCAGATGGAGATGTTCAGGTATCTGTATGACAACTGACAAGATGTTCATAAGCAGATGGAGATGTTCAGGTATCTGCATGACAGCTGACAAGATGTTCATACGCAGATGGAGATGCTCAGGTATCTGGTATCTGGATGACAAGGTGATAAATAACATGACATGGTGCTCGTTCAACTACGGACTAGGATTTTAACCTGATCTACAAAGCAAGCGACGAAAACAACCTAAACCTAAACCGGAGATTAATGGGCAAGTTCAGAGCAGCTCTAGATGAGTGTGAACTGATGGAAATCACTAAATCAGCCTGCAAAACCGAAGGTTCACTTGGTCTGATGAGAGGGAAAATTGACACTGGTGTGGTTGGACCGTTGGACAGAACGCCCTCTTGAGTCTTGACTGGAGCATAAGACCATTGCCCTACCATTCTCAATCGCCAAGAGACCAACACAAGGAAGGCTGCATTCTAATTCGAAAACCACACCCAGTGTTGAGGAACAGGCCTCGGCTTTGGATCGGGACACCCAGTGTTGAGGAAAACTAGCAGCAACCACGCAGGCCCCTATTCAGTAACACGAGATTGCAGCTACACAGCCAGAGGAGGCTTTTTTCTTATAATTGTTTTTGGGGCCATTTGGCACGGGTCCTATTTGCTCCGGCTCCTACACTGGTGGTACTGTAGTGGCACGGTGGAGCTATAAATCGAGGCTCCGCCAGCTTGTCTTCTTCTCAGTTTATTTTTTGCCTTGAAAACCGAAACGGCACTACAGTATTTTCTAGGAGGAGCCGGCACACCTGGGAGTCATCCCAAACAAGGCCTTACACCGGTTTTGACCTCATCCAAATGTAAAATTAGTGATCACTAGCCGTAGCCATCCAAATAGCCAATTCTTGTTTGTGTTGAAAAAAATACCGGACCTGTAATTTACAAGTTTTTTGAATGAAATACTGGGACTGGCGTCGGCAAGGCTTGGAACGAAAACACTGATGATGCGAGAACGGAACATCAGAATTTTGGATCGGAGTCATACAGTAGGGGGTGATGAGCACCGAGCAGGATCCAGGATGAAGCGAGAACAGTGCTTCACCGGAAACAAGGGCCTAGATCTAATTATTATACCAGTAGTCCAGTACAACAAGACACCACATGTCAGGGAGGACGATTGTGTTTTTTTGGGGGGAGGAAAATAGAGGCATTTTATTTTATTACTCATCAATGTGATTACAGTCGCAAGCAATAATATGCTTAATATATAAGCCGACAGGGAGGACGGTTGTGTTGATTCATCTTACCTATTGAGTCAATAGATTTCAGCTCTGTTAGGGTCATTTCAGTTTTGAGAGGCTAGACTTGTGGTCCACTGACCTTTCACGAGTCAATTAATCAATCTGCCAGTCCTGAGTTGTGAGAGTATTAGGCCCTATTTAGATCCCACCCAAAATCCAAAATTTTTTAAGATTCCTCGTCACATCAAATCTTACGGCACATGCATGGAGCATTAAATATAGGTAAAAAGAATAACTAATTGCACAGTTTACCCGTAATTGACGAGACGAATCTTTTAAGCCTAAATAGTCCATAATTGGATATTTTTTACCAAATACAAACGAAAGTGCTACAATAGCCAAAAGCCAAAAAATTTTCGCATCTAAACGGGGCCTTATAGTATATGGTAGCATGGGCCAAATTCTCACCCATTTATACCCAATCGACAATAGTATCTACAAAATCCTAATGTGCACCACACCTAAGGTTTTCATCGGTGGTGTCTTTTGTCAAAAACTCTATACACTAGGATTTATACTATCCTGAATTATAAGAAAGGGCCAAATTGGCTTAGAACATCTGAGAAAAATGAACAGCCCATGGAAGCCCACTAACCAGGAGCGTGCAGCCCATGATGGATAGTGATTTTGTTCCAGTCATTTGTAAAAAATTCTTTGTGGTCTTACGTATTCAGTCAACAGTCGAGTGATTTTTTTGTCTTGTTTGGTCTCGAATTTCTTCTCATCCAATAGAAATATGGCTTGCCATCATCTCTATTTTGGATTTTTGCCTCTTCGCTACTGTTTAGTTAGATGTTTATCTCCCATTTTTTCCTTAATCATAAGCTTTCAACATCTGACCCATTCATAAAAAGTCAGGGCAAAGTGCATATAAATTGAGAAATTATTGCTGACAAAATTATCTAATTGAGCTGAAATTTAAGACAACCTGCGTGATGGGCTGAAGTGAGAAGCAAACATATACCACAACATGTCGGAAACATTAGTGGCCCCTGTTTGGCTTACCTTAAATTCGGTTTGTTCGTCTTCTTTTTTCAACTGCAACAGTGTTTTTCTCTCACACCATTTCAGCCAGAACGGTGTTTTTAAGCCAGTTTCAGTCAAGTTTCAACGAGCCGAACGGGGCCTTAATACTAGTGAAGGGTGCGCGCCTTCGCACGTGACGCCAAAGCATTATGTTCAGGAGACTGAAGGATACTGAGTTGTAGAAATGGAAGACGATAATAGGATATCTGGTTCCATGCATATCATATTAGTACGGGTAGCATATATGTTTCTTGTTGACTCACTGGCAAATAGTACTTGATGTCATAATAGCCTGGATATTATACAGTCGACAGGCTGGAGACCGGCTGTTTAAGTTTGCAATAGTACTAACTAACGATAGATATAAGTGCAACAGCCTGGATATTATACAACGAGCAGGCTTAGAAACTGATTCCATGGTTATTTGTATAGCATGATCCTCTGCAGATCTTGGGCATTTTTCTTTGCCAAAGGTTCAAGCTGCTACCTTCTTTATCGCTGTGATCTGCTTTGGGATTTAAAGAGTTAGCTCTTTCCCACTGCGCGACATCTTTTCAACTTGCTGTGTGCAGTGGCGGTGGGACTTCGTGCTCTACCAGATCCGAACCGTCAAATATGCAATCGGGCATGTCACCATGCTTCATCAGCTTACCATCTTACCAGGTGTACAAGATGCTGAGATTGTCCGGAGTGCTTGGTTGACAAGAACAGAGATTCCATGAAAATGGAAATTAAAATTTACATGCAATGTAAGTAAGAGCAAAATAGGAATTTACAATGATGATTGTGTGCATGCTGTCTATACAACTGATTTCTGATGATATGGCCGGACTTGCATTCGAATTTGATCCGTTTAGCTTGTTTTAAAAGAAAAGTTGCTTCTCTAACCTAGAAGCAGTAGACAATGTCAGCCCTTTTAAAACCCTTAAGACAACCAAGAATATTGGAACACAGATATGCATGTTTTACTATGAAACAGTAGGTACCTTGAAGCAATGTTCGATTCAAGAGCAGCTCGAAGAGCAATTGATGACGATAACATATGGACCAACTTAGCAAAAGCCTCGAAAGTAAAAAAGATTGGATGGCACATACAAGGCCAGTGTGTTATAATAGTAGGTAGTAATGGCCGTAACACTTGTCTTTAATAGTGATATTCCTCTCTGCCAATATTGATGCCTCTCCATGGAGTGGGAAGATGCACTAGAAAAGTTGCAACTGTTGCTTCTCTTGGAATCAAAAGGTAGTTTCTTGACAGAATCCACTGAGGCAACTCCAAGGTTACTCAAACAACTTTCTGTCAATGAAGCTTCTTCCCCCATCTGTGCAAACAATTTTCCTTTAGGTATAAAAAGTGGGTAAAGCTTGCTGAAAAGAAGAAAAATAGAGTCACATAAGCCTGTCTTATATGTCCATCTTCATGCAATAGAGAGCTCTTGTTTTTCCTATGTACACTTATACAGTACCTCTGGAACTGTTGTATGCTCCAGTGGAACTCCGCTGCTATATATTTGAGCATGAACCCTAACAAATATTTAAATTATGTTAGCCAATGAATCAACCAGGTAGCCAATTCAAAGTTCATGTTGCTACCCATGCACATCACAAATCCAATTGAGTATAACTTGCTTTTTTTTGGAAGACATTTTATATTAATTTAACCGATCATTACAAAGGATAGCCCCGATAACTTGCTGAATATACATGCACGTCATTTGTGCATAAAGCATATGGATGTATCACGGACAAATCCTCATTAAACGAAGTGTTTAATGAATCAAACAACATTACCATTGACGAAAATAACTAAATTCACAATGGATGATTCGAGCAGTAAATTTGATCTTACCTTAAAGCCTGATACAAGCAGAGCAGGCGTGGATAGGATACAGACTACAATATTGATGAAATGTAGCATGTACCTGCAACCAGAAACTTAAGTTTCAGCAATCATATAACCAAATTGAAAAATTATAATTGCAATCTGATATAGTAAACAATTTACACAACCCAAGAACATTATTATATTTAAACTTCTCAGGTGGCTGTAGATAATAAGGAATACTACTGGTCTCCATATAACATTT